GGTATATTAAGTTATCACCCTTTCGTTTTTTTTTGCTAAACTGCTTTTTTCACATTAAGTGCACGGCGTTTATTTTGAATTTTAAGTTCGTGTTTTTGATTTCACCACATCTCTTGGTTCACTGCTTTTTCTGTCGGTTGTTTTAAGGTTAATTTTATAACACCACATTGTTTTATTCAGCATTTATTTTTGATTCTTTTATTCAACTACTACTTTATCATACTTTAATTTACACACTACATTCACTTTGAACATTAATGCTCTTATGTTAAACAATGACAGTAAATTTTTCGTTTCTTAGTGAATTTTATTTTTTTTTTGTTCATTTACGCACTTTTTTTAGTTGATAACGTTGAATTTTGCATATGAAATTATATACATCTAGAATTGTCGACTTCATTTGTATGTTCTTGTATAAGCACTTAAAGTTTTAATCCACCCGCGCCGCAGTTACACGCACAAACGATTTTAAGTTGATTCCGCGACGGTTAAAAATGCTAAACTGAAAGGGAGAGTAAATAAGTACGCACAGGTACCCACTTCAGTAATCCACGATACCACCTGTTCCTTTTAATTTGCTCTCCTTTCCAGTACATATATGTTTGTTTTTTTTCTCCCCTCACATTCCAGGTAGTCTGCATGCTGGCGCTAGCATCGTTGGACATATATACATACATACACACACTGGTAAGTGAGAAATCACTATTTTGCTATTATTCACATAAACATACATATAGACATTAGGAAAAGGTCGTCAACAAAAAAAAGTTATTCTTTTGGAACGTGCGTTTGTGCGTATGTGCACATATATTACATATATGCGACGGGGAATGTACATACAAAAATACATTTGCTAGACATATATGTAAATGCACATGTAGATAAAAATAAATTAAATTAGGAAATAGGCTTGAAAAAAAAACTAAAAAAAAAAAGAGAAGACAAGAATAATAGAAGTAACAAGTAAGAAAGTCTAAGTTCGGGCGGAGCCGATCATTAAATACCCGGCGCAAGTATTAAATATATGTTTTTCCACCTTTCCGAAAGCTACCGCTAGATGGTAAGACGGGGTGTATCAATTTTGAGTAAATTAGCGTCCATAAATTTCGAAATATTCCAGTTTCAAGCATTTCTGAAATTTGCCGTTATATGAAAAGCGGCCGTAATTTTAGTCCGATTTCAATAATTTTCAACGTTTTGCTTTTATGTGGCAAGGACAATAAAAATACCGAGTTTGGTACAAATCGTATAACGGTTACCGATATACATATATGTGATCATAAGTGGGCGGTGCCACGCCCATTTTCCAAAATTTTACCATAAGCGTATTTCTTGGTAAAGAATTGTTGCAAGCATCAATTTTGTATAAATTAGCTTTAATATTTTCTGATTTATCGAAGATTTTATATTTATCTAAATTACCGTTATATGGGATGTGGGCGTGGTTATTGTCCGATTTTTTAAATTTTCGGCCATTTAGTATGCTGTACCCAGGCCAACAACTGCGCCAAGTTTGGAAGAAATTGGTGCTGCGGTTACCAAGATATGCACATGTAACCATAAGTGGGCGTGGCTACGCCTCTTTTCTAAAAATTTATAATATTCTTATTTTTCGTCTGAAATTTATTGTAAATACTAATTTTGAGTGAATTATCTTCAGTAGTTACTAAAATATCGCAGTTTCCGTATTTCTGAAAACTACCGTTATATGGGATGTGGGCGGGGTTATTGTCCGATTTTTGGAAGAAATTGGTACAGCGGTTACCAAGATATACACATGTTACCATAAGTGGGCGTGGCTATGCCCATTTTCCAAAAATTTATAATATTCTTATTTTTCGTCTGAAAATTGTTGTAAATTTCAATTTCCAGTGAATTATCTTCAGTAGTTACTAAAATAACGCAGTTTTCGTGTTTCTGGAAATTACCGTTATATGGGAAGTGGGCGTGGTTACTGTCCGATTTCGCCCATTTTCAACAGCAACCTACCTTGGATTAACGGAAACCTACATACCAAATTTCGTTAAGATATTTTTGCTCGAGTTATCGTGTACACGGACGAACGGACAGACGGACAGACGGACGGACAGACAGACATGGCTTAATCGACTTCTCTATTCATTCTGAGCATTTATGTATACATTTGTCTATATCTATCTCGATTCGTTTTGGCTGTTACAAACAACCGTTATGTGAACAAAATTAATATACCCTTGTGCACAAGTGCGCTCGGGTATAAATATTTATAGTTAAATCTAAAACTAATCTAATTTATAGTTAAGTTTAAAACTTTGTGCACAGTTCAGAAAAATTTAACAAAAAACAAAAACGTTTTTGTTATTTTATGGCCTTATAACAATTATATTCAGCAATTTTTAATGAGCTTGAGGCCGTTTTTAATGAAAAACTTATTGTGGAAAGCAACAATAATGTGAAAACCGACGATCCCACTGACTCAGCCAGTTGCCTATGCACTATGCTAAGTTCGCCTTGTACATTATCGTTGCTTTTTTCCCACTTTTTAATTTTGTTGTGCCAACACAATCAAGCGCAGCTATTCCGCTGCAATTCACTTGATCATGTGGTTGTTGGTTTTGTTGGTTTTTGCTAATAGTTCTATTTTTAGAATGTTTAGCTTTTAGGTGTCTATTTTTAGAATGTTTAACTTTGTGTGTTGGCATAACAAAATGAAAAAGTGGGAAAAAGCAACGATAATATACAAGGCGAACTTAGCACAGTGCATAGGCAACTGGCTGAGTCGGTGGGATCGTCGGTTTTCACATTGTTATTGGCATCAAGCTCATTAAAATTTGTTGAATATAATTGTTATAAGGCCATAAAATAACAAAAACAAATAACTTAAGGACGAGCACACCCAAAAATTTAAACATTCTAAAAATAGAATTATTAGCAAAAACCAACAAAACCAACAACCACATGATCAAATGAATTGCAGCGGAATAGCTGCGCTTGATTGTGTTGGCATAACAAAATGAAAAAGTGGGAAAAAGGCAACGATAATGTACAAGGCGAACTTAGCACAGTGCATAGGCAACTGGCTGAGTCAGTGGGATCGTCGGTTTTCACATTGTTGTTGCTTTCCACAATAAGTTTTTCATTAAAAACGGCCTCAAGCTCATTAAAAATTGTTAAAAAAACAAAGAATTTATCAAAATTTTCAACTTTTTTCAGAACTTTAGAAACTTACTGGGTATGCAGTCTTATTGCCTATTCAAATTTAGGACAATAATGTGCAGGTTTGAAAATCTGAAAAATCCCGTTGAATTTTGAGAATTTTTTTGTCGGGAGTTACGCATTTTCTTCCATACAACGCATGAAAAAATATATTTTTATACGGAAGAAAATGCGCAACACCCGACAAAAAAATTCTCAAAATTCAACCGGATTTTTCAGATTCTCAAACCTGCACATTATTGTCCTAAAATTGAATAAGCAACAAAACTGCATACCCAGTAAATTTCTAAGGTTCTGGAAGAAAGTTGAAAATTTTGATAAAATGTTTGTTTTTTGTTAAATTTTTTTGAACTGTGCACTAAGTTTTAAACTTTGACTTATATCGAGCCCTAACCGCCAAAATAACGAAAGCGCCATTTTTTTCAACATATTATTTTTGATGCAGAAATACATTTTAGATGCCCTAGGAATATTTCTGCATCAAAAATAAAATTTTGAAAAAAATGTCGCTTACGTTATTTTGGCGGTTAGGGCTCGATATGATTTATGTTATGGAATCTACTTTATTTTTATATAAAATTCCCAAAAAAAAATGTATCAAGTAAAACATTGTGAATATGGTAAAAAATAAAATTGTGCTATTTACGTGAGCAAAACTGAATATCGATGGCTTATAGTCAATACCTTCTATTTGAAATTTTTACAAAAATGATATTCTGTTATAAAAATACTGACCTTGTATATCGCTTGTCAGATGAATTTACAATTGAATTGCAAAGTTAAATTAATTCGGATATGAGAGTTAAGTCCCAGATCAGCTTTGAAATCAGAAACTTCTTCTTGTGAAAAATGCTGATAGAGGGTATTGAATATAAGCTCTCGCTATACATACATACATACATATACAGCCGCTGTGGCCGAGGATAAACTAATTTTTTTAAAAGTCTAGCTCATGATATCACAAGCAGCACATAAGCCCACATTTCAGACTGTATACACAAAATGGTCAAAATGTCACTAACTTAAATGATTGAATACATATGAATATTGTAATTGCGTTTATTTAACTTATATACTTATGTTTTTGAATGGATTAATACATTTTTTGCTTGAGTTTTCATTTTCCTTTTTATTTTAAAAAATCATTAAAAAGTTTTCCTTTAATTGATAATAACATTAGTTTACAAGAAATCTGACCTGTGGCATTTTACCATCTTTTTTTATGTAAAATTTGTCCCTGAATACAAATATGCAGTCAGAGATTTAGAAAGTAAATCCGTTCACAAGGTATATAAAAATTTCGGTTTTTTGAGAACTGAAACAAGTTCACTCACTGAATTTAAATTTATTTTTATACTAGTGAAGCTTGTTAAATTTGCTATCTATGCTAACATGCATATGCAATAAATCAACAATGTTGAAATAAATGGGCACGTTCAGAAGGCGCAACAGCTCAGTAACTGTTGCGATTTTACCTTCTGAATGCGTTGTTGTGTACTTCTGATCAACCCAACAGTTGCGTGTTAGATGCTCGTAATATTTTTCTGATCATTTGAGACAACATGTTGCTGTGTACCTTTGAGAGTTGAATTTGACAGTTAATGCATCAAGCCGTTCAGAAGACGCATAACGATCACTGATTTTTTTAGAAACGGTTGCGCTCAACTGCTGCGTCTTCTGAACCTACCCAATGATAGAAAATGTAAAAGCTTTACTAGTATAAAAGTATATAAGTGAGTGAACTTTTTTCAGTTCTCAAAAAACCGAAATTTATATACATATACCTTGAAAACGGATTTGCTTTCTAAATCCCTGACTGCATATTTGGATTGAGGGGAAAATTTAACATAAGAAATGAGCAGAATAGAGGTTATACCTTCTTTAAAAGCTTATGATCTAGTGTGATTAATGTTAATATACGATTAAGCAAAAATAGCGTGTGATATTTACATTTTTAATAAAGTATGTACTTATAAATATTTGATTCTAAGCTTTAATTTTTTGAACTCTTAGAAGTGTAATCATACAAATTTTAGGAAAAGAAGTTTGTCATCAATCTTTCTTGTACACGTTTTGCAGTGGAACATGATGCATTTGGGCTTTCGAAAATTCTGTCCGAATTCTCAAAATCTGTTGAAAAATTTTCAATAGGATCGCTAATTGACCGCTCACTCAAACGAATGTTGTGAAGGGCTGCACACGCGTTAACGACTTTACCAGCGAAAGCGGGGTCATATAACAGAATCCTTTGTTGTGATAAGCATCGCCAAGTTCCTTTTAGGACGCCAAAGAGTCTCTCAATCGGGTTCCGTGCCTTGCAGAGCGCTTCATTGTGCCGAAATTTTGGTGACCCTTCTGGCTGGTTGGGTAAAGGAGTCATGAGCCGTGGCTCTAATGGGTATCCAGAACACCCTTAAAGAAACTTCTTTTAGTATTATATTTTAAAATAAATTAACAAAAATAAATACCAATTAAAAATATATTGCGGTTTCCATTTTCAAAAGCTCGCTGCATGACTTGTCGCACAGCGGAAGAGCTCCAAATATAGGAGTTATGTCGGGCTCCCGGATACCTGGCATTCACGTTAAGGATTTTAAGATTTGGGTCACATATCTATAGAGAGTTAAGGATTTTAAGATTTGGGTCACATATCTATAGCAAATACAATAAACAACTAACACTATACTACATTTCAAATGCTTTGCTTACCATTTGCACATTTATGGATTGATATCCATGATGATTGACGTATGCTTCCTCATTATCTTTAGGACCCAAAATGGATATGTGGGTGCAGTCGATCGCCCCGATGGTTCCTCCGACGAAAGGCGCAGGAGCTAAGGAAAACGCTTCCTTGGCAGCTTGACGTTCTATTTTGGTCATGGGGAACTTCACTTCCGACAAGAAAAAGCGGCTATTGATGGGTTCGGTTACCTTGTGTATGCAGCGGCTGGTAGATTACTGAGTTAGTGAAATTCCCAATTGTTCCCCTACAGGCCGTTGATAACATCCCGTGGCGTAGAATCGCAAAGCGCAAAGAACCTTTCAAAACAAAAGTAAATTTATTGACACATGTAAAACTTTATTAAAAGTAAATATTTAATGCTTTACCTGTTTTTCAGCCGATATCGCTTTAACCCTCTAACCGGTAAGAGTGCCTCAAGGCAAGGATCACAAAAATCACCTTTTGCATATGAAGATGTAATTTTTCATTACGCAAATGAGTTCAACGCATTTCTTTCTCAAATTAGAATGTAATCCGACGGGCCGTTTGTCCTTGTAATCCCGTTTTTGGGAACAGGTGGAGGAGAAGGTCGTGTTTTCGTATTAAAAAATCTCTGATTTTCAGCATCGAAAATTTTTATTTTGGAGACGTTATTTTAACTCAAGAATTTTATTCCCTTAAAGTCTTAGTCATAAGCTTCACGTTTTTATATCTACGGTGTTGAAAATAGTTGGATTTTATGTTCTATAGCAAAAAATCTAAGTGTGCCTCAAGGCAGGCATGACAAGAATATTCGGCGCGAATTTTTTTACGCGTCGCATTTTTCTATTGCGTTTTAGTTATGGTTCTTTTTACTGGTAAGGCAAATACTTTTTATAAATTTTTCACCTGTTTTTCATAAAGTGTCTAACAATATATGCAAATCGTTCCATGATGTCGCGTGAGAAATTGTCGAAGTTATCAGCCGAAGAATTTCTTGAATTTATGGATTCTGTGGAGACTAGTAGTATAGCCGAAGCTACCGGTCCAGCAGTTGTACCAACCAATGGTGGTTTGATTAGAAGTAAGAGTTTCTCTCACATCTTTGGAAAATTGATTTTACGTACTGATCGTACGGATATTTTATTGCAGACATTGAATCAATAAACAGAGATTCTGCTGAACTCAGCAAAGTCATCTGGCGAAAAACAAACCTTAAACTTCATATAAATGAGGTGGCATTTCGTGGCTTACCTGAGCACACAAAAGCGCTCTCAAGACCGGCTCAGTTATTTCTATATTTTTTCCCTAAAGTAATAATTGAAATGATTGTTTAAGAGACGAACCGGTATGCTCTAACTTAATCAGAATATAAACTTGAGATTCAATGTGAATGCCGATGATATTTGCCAGTTCATCGGCATTTATTTATACATGTCGGTTTATCGCTCCCCGAATTTAGAGAGCTAGTTAATGAAGAATGCATTCGAACACATTCGCATTTCGCCATTGAAACGGTTTGAAGTCATAAAAAGATTCCCGTCGTTCCGAGATGGGGATGGACGCAATGATCGCCGTTTTTATCATTTCATTGATACCTGAATTCCGAGAACAGATCGCTGCTGGTCTTGTGAGCTACACTCAAACGCGTTCGGTTGGTGGCCCATCTTCAACAAGTCAACCTTCTACACCACAAGATGAATTGCAACCTGCTGCTCTGAGTGTTGGCAGAAAATCTGTATATCATGTTGATGACGTTCGTTTCAATGGTAACAATCAACTTCCTAAATGGCTCGAGAAAGTGGCAAAAAAATGGTGAAAATTTTGTAAAAAGTCGCAAAGTCAATGTATTTGCGAAGTATGCAATTTATATTTATTTGATCTGCGGCAAAAAATTGCTTTTTGGAATAGCACTCAAAAAAGTAACACATTTTTCTAGATTCCATTGCACTGCTAAACTTTTTGGAATAAAACCGTTGGTACTTAATAAAATTCCTATCTGTTCACATTTTTTGCTTTAACCGATATGAGTGCCTGGAGGCACTGTTTCGTTTATCTCACCTGGAAGTCAAACGAAGCGACAAAATGGTATATAGATGACGACATTGAGTTTATCATGCCCAAGTTATGCCAGAAAAAAATTCCCAACCATTTTTGATCACTATTTCAAAGTTGCCGGTTTGAGGGTTAATTCTTGAACCTTTTAAAAGGTTTCCAGCCATTCAACCACGTCCGCCACCATGCCTGGACGCACACGGAAAAGCTACCGGAACTCTGAAGGTGGGAGATCTAGGGGATTATCAATATCCCGCAGAAAACGCAAGTTAGTGTAACAGAAAATACACTACTGTACCGATCACATCATCCAATGTATGATACAGAATCAGTAGTTTACATAAAAGATTCCTATTGAACATTATAAGCAACCAAAACATTCCTATTGAAGATTATCAGCAGCCAAAACATTGTCAGCAAATAAAAGATTGAACATTATTTGCAACCAAAACATTCCTATTGAAGATTATCAGCAACCAAAACATTCCTATTGAAGATTATCAGCAACCAATAAACAAAAGAAACCAGAGCCTATAAATAGAGGATTAAGCATAGAAATAGGTTGGTCTTCTATTATACTGAAGCATATGAACTTCAGGTTAGAATTGATTTAAGTACATCTTGGTACCAATAAAATTATATTTATTTATGTACATCGAGAGTATGAATTTAACTGGGGGCTCAATAAGTGAATAATAAAAGGAACTCCTAAAAAATCAAATTCCACACGTCCTGAAAAAGAGGACAAGGAGAACCAAAAATTAAACTGGACCGCTTCCGAAAAAAGGGATTACAAGTGTTTGATCAAGACAGAGGAATCATTATGGAAGCAAGGGTAGTAACCTTGGAACAAGCTTATGCCGCTGTAGAAGCACAATTAGCCCAGCTGCAGCAAGCGCAAGTACCTGAAATCGAAGAATTCCAACCGATAAGTCCCAGGATAAACAATGCAAATGAAATAAATTTGAGACTATTCGAACGGCTACCAGTGTTCAACGGAGACACATCCAAATACAGGACATGGAGGGCAACCATCATATCAGCAATGAGTCCCATAGAAGCCTTTCGAGATACCAAACCATATTACGATGCATTATTTATAATACGTCACACGAAGATCGAAGGAGAACCAGCAACTCTTCTACAGAATCATGGCACAGTATTTCACTTACAAGCAATACTCAATCGCCTAGATTACAGCTACGCCGATACTAGAAGCTATAACGCCCTCATAGAGAAAATGAAAAGACAAATACAAGGAAGACAGACGCTATCCGAATTCCACAGCAAGATCTGTCAAATCTTTAATTTAGCAATGACTAAATGCGAAATTGATTACCCAGGGAATACTCGCTCTCTACAGCAGGTCACAAAAGAAATGGCCATAGATTGCTTCCGCAATGGCATAAATGATGAATTTACTCAACACACATTATATGCAGCAAAACCAAGAGATTTAGAAAGTGCATACGCAATTGCCACGGAGATTCGTTATAAAAGGCAGAACAATCCGATACGACGAGAAGCTTATAACTACCCCAAACACCCACAAAACGAACGGAAGTATCAACCAGGAGTTCAACCTATTCCCCACATGGAAAGATCAAACCCGACACCAATGGACGTGGATACATCAATAGTACGATTCCGGCATCCCACGAATAATCAGTATCAACAACAGCAATCGTATCAACAGAATCCCTTCAGAAACAACTATGAACGACAAAGAGCAGGATACGCACCTTTCAATCCCAATAGAGGAGAACCATTTAAACGAAACCACCAACCAACGTCATCCAGATATAATATAGCACCACAGAAACTACAAAGGATCAACCAAATAACGGATAATAATAGTGATCAGTCATTAAGGGTAAATATAGATGAAAGCGAATTTGAAAATAGAGCTAATTTTTTAGACGAGTAAATAATCTGCCGTGTCTTCAGATTATTTTACATGATAACAAAAAACTATTAGTTTTAATAGACACAGGTTCGACATTAAATTATATTAGGAAAAATATTCCAAATGGAAAGACCTTCCCAGTTAAACAATTTGTTAGTAGAACTCTGAATGGTTCAAACACAATAAACTCAGCCAAGAAGATTAAAATGCTAGGACAAGAATTAATATTTTTTGAAATCGAAGAATTCAAAGAATTTGATATGATATTAGGAGAACAATCCTTGAGAGAAATGAAAGCTAAGATAGATCTGTTCGAATATAAAATGATGTATGTCAGGAGAACAGAACAGAAGAAAAAAGAAATGGATGTCAGTCAAGTAAATTTCACAATAGATGAGAGCAAATATAAAAAAGAATTTGAAGAAATTATGAGAATTAATGAGGAAACAAATCCTATTTTACCATTTACTGAAGAGCCAATATGGACGAAACAGTACCCTTACCCCTTTTCAGACAATAATTTTATAAATAAAGAAATAAATAAAATGCTAGAGAATAATATAATTAAACCCAGTAAAAGTCCCTATAACTCACCCGTATGGACAGTACCAAAGAAAGGAACTGAGGAGTTAGGAAACCCTAAGAGAAGAATGGTCATAGACTTCCAGAAATTGAATAGCGAAACCATTACCGATAGATATCCCATACCCGATGTCAACATGACAATACAGAATTTAGGTAAAGCAACTGTTTTACAACCCTAGATTTGGAAGCAGGTTTCCATCAGATAAAAATCAAGGAGTCAGACACCGAAAAGACAGCCTTTAGCATAAGCGGAGCAAAATATGAATTCTTAAGGCTGCCGTTTGGACTAAAGAACGCACCTTCAATATTTCAAAGATGCGTAGATGACATATTAAGGAATTACATAGGAAAATTTGTGCGTGTATATATAGACGATGTGTTAATATATTCATCCTCACACGATGTACATATGGAACACATAAGAATTGTTATAAATGCACTGCGTCAAGCAAATATGAAGATTTCATACGAAAAATCTAATTTTTTCAAAGACAGCACTGAATATTTGGGACATATTATTAAACATAACAGAATAACCGTAGACCCACAAAAAACTGAGACCATAAAATATTACCCGGTGCCTATGAATTTGAAAGAATTAAGATCATTTTTAGGACTAGCAGGATATTATAGAAAATTCATCAAAGACTACGCCAAGATTACTAAACCCCTAACATTGTTTTTAAGAGGAAAAAACGGTCTCGTAAAGAAAAATCAAAGTGAAAGAATGCAAATAAAATTAGATGAGGAAGCCATAAAAGCGATGAATATATTAAAAAAGGAATTACAAGCACAAGTCGAACTCTTTCAACCCGATTTCAATAAACCCTTTGATTTAACCACGGACGCAAGTAATTTTTCCATAGGAGCTGTGTTATCCCAAGGTAGAAATCCCATTTGTTTTATATCCAGAACACTAAGCGAGACGGAACAAAAATATAGCACGAACGAAAAAGAGTTATTAGCCATAATTTGGGCACTACAAAAACTCAGGAACTATTTATATGGACGATCAGACCTTACAATCTACACGGATCATCAGTCCTTAACCTACTCTTTTTCAGGGAAGAACCCTAATAATAAACTAAAAAGGTGGAAAAACCAAATAGAAGAATACGGTGCCAAATTGGTATACAAACCAGGTTCTCAAAACATAGTTGCAGACGCACTAAGTCGGCAACAAATTAATCAATTAACCGACTCAGAATCGCAGCACTCTCAACTCAGCTCACCCACTGAAACCATAAGAAGGGTAGGCACTAGCTTAAACCATTTTAATAATCAAATAATTATCCAAACTAACAATGGATTAGTAAGAATAGAAAGTAAAAATATATTCGGAAAATTTAGACATACCATATACTTCACCCCTATAGAACAATTGATAACAGAAGAAATTCTATATCAAATAAAAACCACACTAGTACAAACTTTCCCAACAACTAATTTTGTAATAGCAAATGCATTAGTCAGAGACATCACTGACGAAAATGAACAGAATGAAATAGTTGAACAAATACACAGAAGAGCACATACAAATTATAGAAATAAGATAAAAGAACTCTCTGAGAGCTATTACTGGCCTAACATGCAAGATATGGCAAAGAAGGCAGCACAAATATGTGAGATATGTAAAAAATGTAAATACGACAGACGACCGAATAAATTACTTTACGGAAAAACACCAATACCAAATGAAGTAGGTACACATTTACACATGGATAAATTTTTTATGGACAACCAAATATATATAACTACAGTAGACAGATACTCAAAATTCTGCTATATAAGAAAAATACCAGATAGGAAAAACACATTTATATATTTGAATGAAATACTATCACAAATATTCCCATACGCAACGAACCTAACAACCGATAACGACCCGACATACGTTAATGTAGTAGCAAAATCTGTATACGATCGACTACATATACAGCACACAGCAGTGCCACCACTACATTCGACAACGAACGGTCAAGTAGAGCGGACGCACAGCACAATAGTGGAGCTAACTAACTTACTAGTAAAGGAAACCAAAGGCAAACACGAAGAGGTAATATTCGAAGCAGTACGACAGTACAATACACCCATTCACTCGGTCATAGGACATAAACCCGAGGACGTGTTTTTCAACAGAGGAGGATACGACTATAAAGTCATCAGAAATAGAATTCAACATAATCAAGAAAGAGATATCACCCAACAGAAGGCACCGAACAAACAAACTACTTACAAGAAAGGAGATATTATTTACGTTAAGAGAAGCCGAAGAAATAAAAAACACGATAGATTCATGAAAAAAATAATTGAACAGGATAACGGTAGAACAGTCACAACAACTGATAATAGAATAATACACAAAGATAACATCCGTACGAACTAGAAATGATACTCATAATAATAATAATCTTGCTGTGCATAAACAGAATTAGTTCAGACACAAATATTACAAACCTGAAAGAAAAGATTATATATTAATTGAAACGAATCCAGCTTTTATATTTGATAGCTACGATTATTTATATCATATTACAAATTTAACTAGAATATTAACACCATACCAAAATATATTAAACTCAAAATATAATTTAGATTCAAATCCTGAAATGAAAATATTACACCAAAAAATTGAAATATTAATGAAACAGATAAATCCAGTTAATAGATTTAGAAGAGGATTAAACGCATTAGGGACAATATTAAAATGGATAACGGGCACACCAGACCACGATGATGAAGTAGAGATACAGACAAGAATCAATCAATTAATTGAGGGACATAATAAACAAAAAATAATAAATAGTAATTTCGAAAAAATTTTAAAGAAATTAAACCCCAAGGATTTCTCTGAAAAATTAATACTCACAGAAGTCTACAATGAACTAAATACTCTCCTAACTACAATTAATTTAGCAAAAAATAACAACTTCCTGTCAACTTCATTAGACTTAGAAGAAATCACAGAAATCATTGCGAAAGAAAAAACAAATGTTTTAACCATAAATATTTTAGAATATGCAGAAATTAAAATTGTTAAATTCAAACAAAACTTTGTAACAGTTTACAAATACCCAAAAATCAAAGAAAAATGTGAACAATTCTACATCCACTCATTAGCGTGGATGTGACCACTGGGTTTCTCATTATCTTGCGACCAAGCTGCCAACCGACACGCATACCGCATGGGAGCGACATCTTGGAAGTAAAACCGATATACCAACATTCGGTGAGCTGGAAGCATTTTTAAATACTCGTATTTTAGAAATCGATGCAATCGAAAATCGCAGCATGACCTTTACTGCTTCATCTGCAGTTAAATCTCCAAAGGATACAAAACATCAAACCCCTTTTAATTATAACAACTCAAAACCCATTCAGAGATCGATGGTTAATGCTAAAAGTTTTCACGCTGCTCCAAACGTCAACACAGCTCAAGTTGAATCATGCGCTTTATGTGGTCAAGCACATATTATACGCCGCTGTCCAACCTTTCTCTCAAAAGATTGCTATGAGAGGAAGGCAATCGTTGATAAGGCAAAGCTGTGTCTCAATTGCTTAAGTAAGGCTCATGCACTTTCTAAGTGCACTAGCATCAAAAATTGCCTCCAGTGTGGCCAACGTCACCACACTTTACTGCATTTTCCATTCGCTACAAAGACTACTCCTGCAAATAACGCTCTTCCGCCATCAACTCCACGCGTTTTATCCAATTTCAGCAACGTTTCAGCACCTCCACAAGAACAATCAGTTCCAATTTCTTCAAACACACCTTCTCTTTCGACAGCAGTTTTAGAGGCAAGGCGCTTCACTCGCGCTCATTCTACGCTAGCGGCAAATCCAACACAATTGGGTGTCGATAGGATCCCCGTACAAGGGCCGAGACACATACTTCTTGCCACGGCGTCAGTAGGGCTGTGCAACGAAATCACGAATCGATCGGCGATAGTACACGCTTTGATCGATCAAGGATCCGAAGGAACGCTTATTACAGAAAATGCTGTTCAGCAATTAGGCCTGCAGCGTCATCCCACAGCTGCAGATATATGCGGAGTAGGCCCAAACCTATTTAGCCAATCACGATCATTGGTTAGCTGCACTCTTCGTTCATGCTTCGCCGCTCATATTGAGTCTGCTTATGTTCTGAAGCAACTCACAGCACCACTGCCCAGCCAGGAAATTGTGCCACAAGATATGGCACATCTACGAGGACTCGCTCTCGCCGATCCCAAATACTACCAGCCGAAAAGAATTGACCGCATTATCGGCGCAGACATGATCGCCCAAATATTGGAGCCGGAAACCCGCATTGGCCATGTTAACCAACCTATTGCCCAAAAAACTCATTTGGGATGGATCCTGTCGGGACGAATAAATTCTGACACGCCTTCTACTGTCACTATTCGCTGCCACCACAGCAACCTTGAGCTTGAAGGGCTTGTGCGAAAATTCTTTGAGAACGAGCATGTGCCCACTTCTGTACCAATGTCCGCTCAAGACCAGTGGTGCGAAGATTTTTCCCATAGCACTTATACTCGACAAGCAAATGGTAAATATCTGGTTCGTTTGCCTCTGAAGTCATTATATGATCCTAACCAAACTATAGGCAAGTCGAAACAAATTGCACTGAACAGATTTCATGAGCTAGAACGTCGACTCCAGCGTAATGCCGATCTCCGTGAGCAATATGAGGATGGAATTGAGGACTATTTTCGCCTGAACCAAATTCGCCCAGCTATGACAATGGAGGAACTGCACTGCTCAACTACCAAATGTAACCAGCTAACCGTAACATCCTGTGTACTGCCGCATCACGCTGTGGTGAAAGAAACGAGTGTCACTACCAAACTACGAATTGTCTACGATGCGTCCTCGAAAACGTCAAATGGACGTTCATTGAATGATTTACTATGCATTGGCCCACCATTACAAAACGACCTTTCGGCTGTCATCCTGAAGTGGCGACTGCATAGATACGTCTTCTTGGCCGATATACAAAAAATGTATCGATGTATCGACATGAACCTAGAGGATTCAAATTATCAACGCATATTGTGGCGCAACAAAGATGGACATGTTTACGAATACTGCCTCACGACGGAGACCTTTGGAACAGCGTCCGCGCCGTACACTGCAATTAGAGTTCTTCATCAGCTCGCGCACGATGAAAAACACCGATTCCCCCTCGCTGAGAATATTTTGCTTCACGAGATGTACGTTGACGATGTACTAAGCGGAAGTGATTCAATTGCTAATGCAACACTGTTGCGTGATCAACTGATAGCGGCGTTAAAGTCAGCTGGCATGGAACTCAGAAAATGGTCCAGTAACACTCCTGAGTTTTTGCACCCTATTCCATACGAGCATCAATCGTATGATCCAGCACAACAACTCAACACTAACGAGACGATCAAAATGCTTAGCCTGCATTGGCAGCCGAATCTCGACTCTTTCACTTTCTCAGTCAAATTTGCTATCAACTCCAGCGTAACAAAATGATCGGTTCTGTCAACCATTGCCCGTTTGTTCGATCCCCTCGGATTTCTTACCCCGATTACTGTAGCAGCGAAGGTAATCCTAAAGGAGATTTGGGCAACGAAAATTAAACGTGATGATGATCATTATGTAGCTCTAGGTTCGGATGAAGAATTGCCTCCGACTATCAATGCGAACTGGCAAAGGTTTGTTACTGAATTGCCACAGGTAAAGGCGATCTCTGTTCCACGCTGGTTACATTACTCGACGCAACAACAACTTCAGTCGGTAGAACTACATGCATTCTGTGATGGCTCCTCCTCGGCATATGCTGCAGCGGTATATTTACGCTTGCACTACAGCAAGAAGGACATTTACACATACCTAGTCGCCGCTAAAAGCAGGGTCACGCCTATCGGCTCACTTACAATCCCTCGAGTGGAGTTATGCGGCGCTGTGCTGGCATTGGGTCTCTCCAATTGGGTTCAGAATACCCTCAAGCCAGTGTATGGAAAACTGCCAGTCTACTTCTGGTCAGACGCAACAATTGTCCTTTATTGGATTTACGGTGATCTCAACAGATGGAAACTATATGTAGCAAATCGTATAAGCAAAATATTGTCGCACAGTACACCTAGTCAATGGAGGCATGTTGGCACTTAAGAAAACCCTGGTGATTGCGCCACGCGCGGTTTATCACCAACACAGTTGAAAGATTTGGAACTCTGGTGGAATGGACCACGGTTGCTAACGCAGCCCAAGTCAACTTGGCCAACTTGCTCAATTAACGCGTTAGATGTCGGTGATACAACACTGGAAGAAAAACCGGCTAAAGTTCATGTTCATGCAGTTGTTGCAATCTCATCGTTTGTACAACGTTTTTGTTCACTTAAGAAACTTCAACGCATCACCGCTTGGATGTTACGATTTTATTATAATCTTCAGCGTAAAATTAACCACGAGGGACCAAAAGGTGGCCCACTGACTCCAAGTGAGTTACAACAAAGTTTGGTTTGTATCGTTCGACTGGTGCAACAAGAAGCTTTTCGAACAGAAATACATTTGATCGAAACCAAACAAGTTGTGCCAAATAGCAGCAAACTCGTCAGCTTAACGCCGTTTCTCGGAGAAAGAAAAGTTCTTCGTGTACGCGGTCGGCTTAAGCATTCTCTTCTCCCTTACGACCAACGACACCCAATGATATTGCCGAGTAACCACCATGTAACGAAGTTAATTATTGACAACGCTCATTTCAATACCCTACACGGTGGTATCCAATTAACACTTTGTACCATCCGAAAACAATTTTGGATCATACATGCGCGCAAAACGGTGCGCAACCATCTTAAAAATTGCATCAAGTGCTTTCGTAATAACCCACAACCCACTACACAATTAATGGGAGATTTACCCACGCAACGCGTTAACCCTCCTCAACGCGCTTACTACGCAACAGGTGTTGATTACACGGGGGCCATCGAGCTGAAATCGTCAAAACATCGCGGTCATACGGTTTACAAGGGTTATATAGCCATATTCATATGCCTGGCTACGAAGGCGGTGCATATAGAGGCAGTTACTGGCATGACAACGGAGCATTTTTTATGGGCGTTACAGCGTTTCATTGCCCGCCGTGGGATATATCAGGACTTGTATAGCGACTGCGGCACCAATTTTGTTGGAGCTGATAAAATTTTGAAAATTAATCAAAGGCGATTTGTCGAAGAAGTTGAGCGTGATATTGTACCTCAATTAGCCGTACAAAACATAAATTGGCATTTCAGCCCCCCGTACTCTCCAAATTTTGGCGGGCTGTGGGAGGCTAATGTAAAATCCATCAAATATAATCTAAAACGCATTATCGGCGGAACAAGACTAACCTACGAGCAGCTGTCCACAACCCTGGCAAGGATCGAAGCCTGCCTTAATTCAAGGGCCTTGTGCCCGCTGACATCCGACCCCGATGACCTCTTTGTGTTAACCCCGGGGCACTTCTTGGTCGGGGACGCCTTACTTTCACCACCTGAAACCACTCCTGATAGAAAATCCCTTACAGCGCAGTATTTTGATATGCAGCGATTGGTACAACAATTTTGGACCAGATGGTCAGCAGACTGGCTCTCTCATTTGCAAGCACGACCAAAATGGAGGCAGGAGGAGCCAAATCTCTGTGTAAACGAGCTGGTTTTGGTGAAAGATGATAAACTACCCCCCCACTCAATGGTTGGTCCAGGATCAGACCAACTTGTACGAGTAGTTACTGTTCGTACCCAACACGGCCTTTATAAGCGTTCGGTAACGAAAATTTGTCGATTGCCAATACCATCTACCAGCGAAGCGAGGGATACTACTCTGCTTAACTACCACTCTTGCACACACTTAACCTTTTATCTCTTACCTTATTATAGGTGAAACCCACAACCTACATCAAACCAGATCAGAAACGATGTCATAGCAAATCAGAGGCGCTTCGGTTCATAATGCTGGGCTCAGCATTGGGAGCGGCATGTACAATCTGGCAGCCTTATTGTTATTTTGAGTACCAAAGGGAACGGACATTTTCCAAGGAATCTCCCGCTATTCTCTTCACCAATCTCTGGCTTTGCTTGCAGCCGCTGCTGTATATGTAATATATAATATATTCTTATGTCAGTCAGCATCAAACTGTCAAGTAGAGTAGAATTGTCGCGCAAATAAAACTGATGGAATTTAAAATCAAGAACCTCGTTTTACTTTAGTGGAAACTACACACGGACGGAGGAACCACCACGACGAGAGGTGGCAAGGCATGTCACCGGCGACAACCCGATGAGGACCACCACGCAACCGCCAGTCACATCACACCACTCAGCGGCGAACACACAGCGTCGTGGCCTATCCACGAATCAGAGCTTCGACCCCAACAACGTATGCAGGAGATGTGGACAGGAAAGGCACTATGCCAGGCGATGTCGCAATGCACGGAAGTTATTCTGTTGGGAGTGCGGTCGGGCCAATGTCCGTACGAGTGAATGCTGTCGCCGGCGTCAGGGAAACGGCGGAGGGCTCTACCAAGAACACGGCGCGGTGAGCCCACCGAACCCAGCGTCGATACGCCCATAACCATGCGTCAAGACCACGGTCGAGTGTACGCCCTGGTCTACTTGGGTAGGGAGCAAGTCGAGGCCGTCATCGATACCGGCGCCTCGAAGAGTTTCATATCCACCACCCTAGCGGAATATGTGGCAACCGTAGGAAGCGGAGAAAGAATAACGGTAGCCCTCAAAGTACACATGGCCGACGGTACCAGTAGCAAGGTTTTCGAGGCCATGAAGATCGAGATTCGTCTCGGACGAGCGATTCACCAAGCAGTGATATACATCATGCCAGGTGCAATAGACGTCCTCATGCTCGGCCTGGACACGTTGGGAAGCATGGGAGCTGCAGTATCCTGCGGCGGTCAACACGTCGTACTCACCGAACCGACTACACAGCCGGCACCGCCCATTACGTCACAAACCACGGAGAATAGCACCTCACCCACAGTAAGTAATACCACCCCGCAGAGGGCGGCTACGAGGAAGCACCGACGGAAAGGCCGATCCAGGAGCGAGAGGGTCAACAGAGTAGACCATGACGACCACAGTGGGAGCGTCGATGAGCGCACCTCCGCGGGGATGCCACGCGGTAACCATACAGACGATTAACACGAATACGCGTCTTCCTAGCGGAAGAACTAGAGAAGTTTGAAACCATGAGCGGAGTGGCCAACGTGGTGGAGCACAGGATCGTCATGACCGACGCCCGCCCCATCAAGCAGCGGTACTTTCCGCGCAACCCAGCGATGCAGGCCATCATCAACGCAGAGATCGACGAGCTTTTCTCCAAAGGGTGCATCGAACCCTCCTGTAGCCCGCATAGTGCGCCCATCGTGTTGGCTCGGAAGAAAAACGGCAAGTGGAAGCTGTGTGTGGATTACCGGCAACTAAATGCCCGATCAGTACCTGACGCATGCCCCTTACCCAGAATACAACAGATACTGGACAAGTTACGTAGGGCTAAGTATATCAGAAGCCTAGACCTCAAAAACGGCTACTGGCAGATACCCCTGGGACCGAACAGTCGTCCATACACCGCCTTCACCGTACCGGGGAGCAGACTATTTCAATGGCGCGTCATGCAGTTTGGCTTGCACTCCGCGCCATCAACATTTCAGAGAGCACTCGACCAGGTCATCGGCCCAGAAATGGAACCCCACGCTTTCGCCTACCTAGACGACATCATCGTCATAGGCTCCATCTTCGAGGAACACGTACAAAACCTACGAGAAGTACTGTCACGACTACAACGCGCGAATCTCCGTATCAACCCCGAGAAGTGCGACTTCTTCAAGAAGGAACTCCGATACTTGGATCATGTGGTCAGTGGCAAGGGAATCCAAGAAATAAAACCACCATCTAACGTGAAGGAAGTACGCCAGTACCTCGGGATAGCCTCGTTGTACCGTCGCTTCGTGTCCGATTTCGCCACGTTAAGCCAACCACTAACTGCACTCCTGGAAAAGGGTAAGCATTGGAAGTGGGGAGTCGAACAACAAGAGGCTTTCAACACCCTCAAGCGGAAGCTCACCGAGGCCCCCGTACTCGCGTGTCTGGATTTTAACAAGCAATGCACCCTACAGACGGACGCTAGTAACTTTGGCCTGGGAGCGGTACTGACACAAGAGTTAGAAGGAGGCGACCGCGTAATATCTTATGCCAGCAGGAAATTAAACAAAGCGGAGGCCAACTACTCGCCCACAGAGAAGGAGTGTGTTGCCATCGTTTAGGGAATCCAGAAGATGAGGCCCTACCTAGAGGGATACGGATTCAAGGTGATCACCGAACACATGTCGCTGAAGTGGGTGAACTCGATCGAGAGCCTTTCGGGCCGTATAGCGAGGTGGGCCCTAGAATTGCAACAGCATACGTTTGATACAGAATATCGAAAATGGAAGCTCAACCTGGTCGCGGACGCACTTTCACGGCACCCACAGGAGACCCTCC